CTTAAAAAAAAAAAAAAGAATATTGGTCTTTTAAAAAAAAAAAGATGGACTTGTGTTTTTGCCCCTTTTTTCCCCATCATGTGATATATAAAAGATAAGTAATCAAATAAGCATTTGATCCTATTACCTTGGGTATTCCTTCTCAAGGCATGTGAAGATTTAATACTCCAACATTTCAATGAATGGTGTGTCAACATGATTTTTACAGAGGGTGAAATGTAATATCAGGGATAGTATGAAACATTGGCCCGACTCTGCCACTCGGCCTAACATTTGGGGCCCTGGTAACATGTCACCGCTTGTGACTGAAATTATCAGTGGAAGCTGGAGAGGAAGGGTGTAATTTCTAACACTTTATGTTGGCCAGGAGAGCAGGATAATCATTCCTAACAAGACAGATAAGGCCTATGGAATCTTATTGGGCTATGGGTGGTCAGAAACTCACTGACCTTTATCTTCAAAATAACACTCCAGGCAGCATCTGCCTTGTACCACATCCATGTGTTCTTCCCTGACTGAGAGAAAAGAGGAGCATTTTTTAAAAATTGCTCTGTTTCCCAGAAACCAAGAACAGAACAAAGGTAAAGGTAGCAAGACTGCAATCTTGAGAATTATTGTTGTTTTTTTTAATTCAAATTTTGTTCCTTAAAAAAAAAAAAAAAAACTTGGCTGTTTTGGAAATTCCCTCACTAAGGCACTCTGATGATAAGCCTTGTTCTTCCCATAGGTCAGAGAATTGGCTAGATCAATCCATGGGCGTGTGATTTGAAGTAGGGTGTTGTTGCCTTATCCTTCCCCACACCCCCCTATGGCCTCCAAATGAATATTTCATCCAGCTTGTTTACATGGTCACTGGGGAAGAAATCCCAATTATCAGTTGTCCAAGATGGACCATGCGGTCAGACTTCCAGGCCCTTTCTTGGCCAGAGTCCTTTTCTCTGGTATTTGTGTTTGCCCATTGGGAAGCTTTGCCAGAAATAGCAGGGTCAATGGGATGTGTCCGTATTGAGGAGAATCTCAATGGGAGGAAGCTTCAAAGACAGGTAGTGATGTTGCTGTGCACATTCCTAATACCATCAGATTACGCCGTCTGACAGAAAACGGTGAGGACTGATGGGGAAAGAAGCCTCCTCGTGATAAAAATGTTGGATTTGTTGGCTTTTAACTGAGAACTCGACCAAGTCCACCTTCTGTATATTTTCCCCTGTGTTTCAGAGATCTCATCAAAGTTCTCAAGTGGTATGTGGACAGGATAACGGAAGCGGAACGGCAAGAACACATCCAGGAGGTGTTGAAGGTAATGACACACTGGCGATAGTAGATAATGTCGTCTAACAGAACTGTTGCGTGATGATGCCTAAACTAACTGCTTTCCTCTACATAGACAGTAATTGGTGATGATGTATTACTGGCATTCCAATTCAAGGATCTTAATCAGTTTATGCTCCTCCAGAGCTGATGAAATTTGAAAGAAACTTTGCCAGGCTCACCCACTGGAACTGCTTAGGATTGAATCCTTATGCCTCTGAGCTCCAGAACCCTTGGAGTGAAGTCTAGGGTTGGCAGGAGGGAGGTCTTAGGACAGAAGACCACAGAGAAGCAGTTAAGCCTGGAAGTTCCTGGCTCTTGCTTCCAACACCCTGACAGAGGCCGTTTGAGAACAACTTGTCTGAAATTTTGAGAGAGTATAGGGTGGCTTGGCAGGGGTCACAGTGAGGAGACCTGAGGTTTTACTGGGCCTCGTGGTTTAAAGCTGCCCACGTGTCTGGACCCTCGGTGCTCGGTGGAGATGCTAACACTTTACTTGCAAACATGTTCATGAAGAACACAGGTCCTTAAAGGAATTGTCCAGTAGTTGCTCTGAGAGTCCTCTCATGTCCTCTCATTGAGTGCCACTCTATTTGATGTCAGTAGGTAAAAGTAGACAGGTATGCACTTTTAAAAGCAAGTGGTTTCCTAATTATAAATTTATCACGTTGGTCTGATGGAAGGTAAAATGCTAAGTGGAAAGAGTACCTGCCAGCAAAGCACAATAATTTTTGAGAAACAGACCAGTATCTCTCTGTTAACTAAATTTTAAAAACCACCTGAGGATCAAAAGCATTTCAGGTTCATACTTCTTGAGAATTACAAAGAATTTTCAAATTAGCTATACATTTTGTCTCATTAGCATCAGAGAAAAATGGCTCTTCCCCCACAAGTAAATACTGTTCGAAAATCTCATTGGGGGTCTTAGCGTTTAAATCAATAATTTAAAATTCTAATGTTGTCCCGTGGTTTTTATGCCATGTCATTGTTAAATACTCTCGGTTTCCTTTGAGACTAACTTTTAAAACATTTCGTTTTAAGGCACAAGAATATATTTTTAAGTATATAGTGCAATCTCGAAGGCTCTTTTCCCTCGCCACCGGGGGGCAAAATGAAGAGGAATTTCGCTGCTGCATTCAGGAGCTCCTTATGTCGGTCCGTTTCTTCCTTTCTCAAGAGAGCAAAGGGTCAGGAGCGTTATCTCAATCACAGGTAATGTTTTTTCATCTCTGCTCGGTAGAGCAAAAATGAGTCCAGTTTATTTGTGTTTACATAGCAGCGGAAGCGAATGTTTTCTCCACGAGAAATCCATTGCTCCAGTTGATACATGGAGCGTAAGCAACTTGGCAGACTTTTAAAAGGTCCCCTAGCTTCTGAGCACCGGCAGAGCAGAAGTTTGGTTGCCTTTCCTCCGACTGTTCTCACTCTTCGTGGGGAGGCTGTTGGTCTGCAGCAGCCTGGATTTCGGTTCCCAAAACACACGCTGATGAGTAGACACACCGTCAGCATCAGCCTCGGGGAAGGAAGTTCACTGGAGCTGACTTGTTTCTGTTGTTTACCCCAAGCCTTGCACTACATTTTAATCTGTCAGCTTGAGACTCATTGTATTGGATTTGGCTAAACTGCATGTTGTTTTGTTTTATTTAACTTGACCCTAATCGTCCTGGGACTGATCTTACATGACCAATGCTGAGCAGCTGTTGCCAAATGCTATTACCTGGAGTGGCTCCACGGGTTCTGTTTAAGAGCGGGGTTTATCCCCTTTCCAAGTAGCACGGCCTTGAATGTGTTCTGAGCAGTCATTCTCAATACCTTACTTTACATTTTCTTAATCCTTCTGATACACTTTTAGTTCGAATGACTTGGTTAAAAACCTATCAGATGGAGAAGCAGCCTCTTTGCTGCCATCCCCTGGAGACTAGAGATTTATAATCACTGAGAATTAGAGGGAGAAAAATGGGAGATTAGAAGACAAAACTAACTAGATCCCTTTAGAGTAACATTATAATTTGGTGCCATTTGACATTTGGAAGGTATTACATATAATGGTAAAACACCAGAAATGTACCAATCCTCTGTGCTTTTTCTGACTTTTGGGGGCTATTCTTTCTTTTTTTTTTTTAATTTAATTTTATTATGTTATGTTAATCACCATACATTACATCATTAGTTTTTGATGTAGTGTTCCATGATTCATTGTTTGCATATAACACCCAGTGCTCCATGCAGAACGTGCCCTCTTTAATACCCATCACCAGGCTTATTAATCTCTTCTTTACATAAGTGGGCCAATTTTACATGTGGGCAAGGATACAATTCAGGCTCTTTTAACGGCATTTTGTCCTCTATTGCTAATGGCACAATCCCTGTGCTTGAGGAACTTGCCAGATACCTCAAAGTCAAATTGCCCACTAGCCAAACCCTACTTTCAGCAGTTGATACTTGAAAAGGATAATCCAACAAGCTAATCATATATTCCTTTAGATCAAAGTTCTCAGAAACTCACTACTTTTATAAAAGCTATTTAATTGAGATTTTTTTTTATCATAAACCTTTACCGGTTATAGGGACAAAACTTACCTAATCACATCTGAAAAATATTCTCTTACTTTTAAGGGTAAATTTAAGTCATGATTTCTCAATGACATGCCTTCCTAGGGACTCAAGAGGTTTTTTCCCTTCTATAAAGTTAGAGAAATATTCTTTTTCCTTAGTTATGTTTCCACTGCATCTTAGTAGTTGCCCTGAGATGACATGGGCCCACGTGATGTGATCATTTTCTTTTAGGTTGGTGCTATGAGAATTCATAGAAAATGACGAAGTGGTTAGTTTTCTTTACTAAGCAAAGAGGACTTTGTCCCTCTGTGTTTTGGGAGAAAAGGGAATACTCTAGACCTTTTTTTATTCCAAGTTCCCTTTTGACCCCACACCCTCATAGTTCTCTTTTCTAAGAAGGAAGGCATTACTAATCTGATTGACCCTGCGTATGACCTTTCTGTTGCTGTGTAACAAATAACCATGTGCTTAATGGCTTTCAGTAACATCCATTTATTAGTTCACAGTTCTGTAGATAAGAAAGGTTGACTGGATTTTTTGCTTAGGGTCTCCTACAGCCAAAATCAAGGTGTTGGCCTTGATGGCTTATTTGGAGGTTCTGGGGAAGAATTCACTTTCAGAATCTCCCAAATGTTCATAAGACTGAGATTCTCATTCCCTTGCTGGTTATCAGCAAGGGATTGGAGGAGAAGAGGGGTGTTCTCAGCTCCTAGAGCCCTTCACATTCCTTGGTATGTGGCCTCTCCATCGTCAAAGCCAGCAACGGTGGACGCCTGGGTGGCTCAGTTGGTTAAGCGACTGCCTTCGGCTCAGGTCATGATCCTGGAGTCCCGGGATCGAGTCCCGCATCGGGCTCCCCGCTCAGCGGGGAGTCTGCTTCTCCCTCTGACCCTCCCCACTCTCATGCTCTCTCTATCTCATTCTCTCTCTCAAATAAATAAATAAAATCTTTAAAAAAAAAAAAAAGACAGCAACGGTATGTCAGATCCTTCTCATGCTTCAAATCTCTCTGAGTTCTCCCACCATGAGCTAGAGAAAACTTCTGCTTTAAAGGGTCATGTCATTAGGTCAGGCCCATATGGATAATCTCTGTATTTTAAGGTCAGCTCATTAGTAACCTTCATTATACCTGCAAAATCCCTTTTGCCATGTAACATAACTTAGGCACAGGAACAACACTGGGGAAAAAAGGTCTAGGGGGTCATCTTAGAATTCTGCCAATCACATCCAGAGCCAAGAATATCCACCGGTCCAAATCTTACTGTGGGGGTTGCCTTAAATTCAAAAACCCAATTTCCTTGCTCTCTTTTGCATTTTTTCACTGTGGGCTACAACTCAAGGCAAATTCTGTCTTCTGGAGGCAGAGCAGCCATCCCAGAAAACCTTCATGTTGGATCAGTTTATAGTGCCCCACAGATCAGGCCATCCTTGTTCTATCGGGATGCTCATTTAGTCCTCCTGCCCTAACCCCAGCTCACTAATGACTCTGTCTTTGGGAGCCCGGCCCCAACAGGACTGCTCACTCAGCCGTTGGAGCTGTGCCTTTCGGTTTCCCCCTCCATAGACAGATCCCCACCCTGCATCCCCAAGAGCAGAAGAGAGATGTCGGAAGGAGTTGAGGTCCAAAACCTTGTCCCAAATTCCTAATAATTCTTTCTCTATTTGTCTTGGCTATCAGGAAGGTCAAAGTAAACATAGGCTTTTCTTGTTATTTGCGATAAAAATCTTAGTTTAGATATCTTGGTCCAGCTATCATTCTGCTCTTATCACAAGGTGCTTTATCCTTTTTAATACATGTATCTTCACTGCAGGCACATTCAAATACGTTTTTGAAGTAAAGAGCTATAACTAAAGAATTGACAGATTAATGAAAAGATTCCCGAGGAATATCAACGTAGTTGACTTTCCAGTAATCAGAAAGCTGGGCTCATCTTACTGTATTTTATTTTTTTAACTTCATCTGTATGACTCAGCTCTTTGCAGAGTGAAATGAAGGTTATATAAATATAGTCTTTAACAGGGAATACCAAGTTATTAATTTTAAATGCATCCAAGTAAATCTATAATGTTTAAGAGTCAAGGAGAACATAGCTGTTGACTTTAGCCCCTGAAGCATTTTGGTGGTTCTGGCATCAAAAACAAGTCTTGGCTCTTCTAGATATTTCTGCTGCTGCTGTACAGATAAATGCCAAAACCCATGAATTTGAATTTGAGTCTGTGTTTGAATCATCAGCACATGTAGACTCGACCTACTTTCTGCTGGTGTCAGATCTCATTGGTAAGCCAGCTAGCACTTGAATATTAGCATATTAGAAACATGTGCCTCCTTCCCCCACTTGGTAGACTTGAGGCTGGTCGACGCTTCCTTCCGTTGCCCTCCTTTTTGTGGAATTTAAAAGACCGGGTTTGTTTTGATGTACAATCCTAGTCCAATGTGTGCCCCTTAGGATTTAATACTAGCATCTTTTTTTTCCCTTAAAAAATGGTTATCAGGCTTCTTCACTTACATAAAGAATATTGTTCTTAGTACACGCAGTTCTGGGTTACAATAAACCTCAAAGCAACCTAAAGGTTTGTTATAATGATCTTTTGATTTTACAGGTGATAAAACTGAAACCCAGGGGGCTAAAGTGACTTGTCCAAGGTCACAGAGTTGATTAGAGGCCAAGCTAGTAGTTCATATAATCTAGATCTTCTTGTTCCCTGTCTTGTTTTTTTCTTTAACCACAACTTCAGTGCTTTCGGGAATCAATGTGTTTGGTTTCTTCAAGGTAAATGAGATTTAGATGAGCACTTCAGAAACCTTCTCCAAAAAGAAAGGAAATATAAGTGACTGCATTCCAGGTCTTGGTTGAGCATTCTTTCCATTTGATCATGCTGCATTTTGCTGATTCTGTGCAATTTTTTGCCAATCATTTTGCTAATGTCAATGATTTTCCAGAATTTCTCAGTTTTATTATATTGCACATTTTAAAACATGGTTCTATTTTGCTACACTTTTTTTTTTTTTTAACTGCAGCCTTTTAGCTTTAGGTACGGGAACGATTTTACATTCATTTTTTTTATCATTCAGAATTATTTATCACAGTCTTAAACTCACTGACATTTTAGAGCAAATTTCTCGGGTTATATCTTGGGAGTTGATTTAAATCTCTTCCTTTTAAGGCTGTGTTTCTGAGCTCCTTCCCAGCTGTGTACTCAGAGCTCCTGAAGCTCTTTGATATCAGGGAAGTGGCCAACTTGGTGCAGGACACCCTGGGCAGTCTGCCGACCATCGTGCATGTGGATGACTCCCTGCAGGCCGTGAAGCTGCAGTGCATCGGCAAAACCGTGGAAAGCCAGCTTTATACCAATCCAGGTAGGGTGGTGAGTCTTGTGAATGAAACATTGTTTCCAGAAAGCCATTACTTACCCCGGGTAGTCATAGGTCAGCAGAAGCAATTAGGAAGAGGAAGCAGAAAATGCCTTTCTTTGAGAAAGCCTTGTATGTTTGGATAGTAGAATAAATTTATTAAGTAGCCAAATACAGCAGCATGACTATCAAAGCTTTTTTTCTAGAAAGAATGAAAATCCTAATGATTAAATTATTGATTGTAATCACAAACTAGTTTTGATGTCAGGCATGCTTACTTTTTTGTTATAGGTTTTATTTTTTTTAAGATTTTATTTATTTATTTGAGAGAGAGAGAGCACGAGCCAGGAAGAGAGGCAGAGGGAGAGGGAGAAACAGGCTAACCTCTGAGCAGGGAGTCTGATGCATGGCTCGATCCCAGGACCCCAGGATCATGATGAGCCGAAGGCACTTAACTGACTGAGCCACCCAGGTGCCCTAGATTTTATTTTTTTTGTTCAACAAAATTTAATATTTTCTTTCAGAGATGCTTATAGGGACCTGATATGATCCTTACGTGTTTGTCTCTTTTGTTCTTAAAATGTTTCCATCAATTTGTGTTCTGAAACTGAGTGAAAGTTTTGATGTATTGTCATTTTTTATTTTATCCTAATAGCAAGTGACCAGTTACTAAATTGATTTTGTCATAGTATCTGTTATTAAATTCCACTGCCTTTTGTTTTCTTCTAGTTTTTCCTGAAATAAAATACCAGCCTCATTTTAAAGTTTAAGAAGTTTCTATCACTATCACTAAATAAGCTTTTAAAAATGGACTCTACTGAGAATTCTCTTTCCACATGAATCAATATGTGCGTATTAATACTTTTGAAATAGGGTTTCAAATACAGTCAAAAAAGCTTTTTTTACATTATTTTATTGTAAAACATTTTAAAACATACAAGAACAGAGTGTAAGATAGTAAATCATTAATAAATCTCAACAGTATCAGGTATTTGCTTTGGGTCTTTTATTAAGAAATTGGTCACTACAGATATATTTAAGCCCTCTTGCGTGTATTTACTTACTTCAGAGAAATTCCCACTATCAGAGATTCCTGTTTCTATTTTCTCTGCCTTTATTACGTATCTATAAAAATATAACTTTTTTTCATCTTTTCAGATATCTTTCATCTTTTAGTCTTTGTATGATATTATGTTGTACGTCATTCCATAGAGTGCTTCTTTTTGACTAATATACTTTTATATTTATCCAAGCTACTAGGTACACCTCTAGTTCATTTTTTTAGTTTATTTTTTATTGGATGGTATTCCACTCTGAATGAATTTATCTTGGTTAATTTATTTTTTCTCCTGTTGATGGATCATTTGTTTCTGTTTTTTTTTTTCCCCCTGAAATGATACTTCAGGAAATAAAAGAAATTTCAAACCTTCTAATTTCTCCCCAGGAAAACATCTTGTGCTGAAGAAAGGATGTTTCTTGCAGTGGTTTGCGAACTCTGCTCCTCAGAGGCGTAGAGGTTCTTCTGCAGTGATCAGGGCCTCCCCCAGGGTTAGGAACAGAGGTGCGAAGTGTAGGGGGTAGAGGTCCAGACCAGGTACCTGGTGTTAGTTTTCTATTGGTACTGAAAGAATTACTACAAATGTAATGGTTTAAAACAACATAAACTTTGTATCTTACCATTCCGGAGGGCAGAAGTCCAAAATGCTTTTCCCTGGGCTAAAATTAAGGTGATTAAGGTGTCCGCAGGACTGCATTCCTTTGTGGAGGGTCTAGGAGAGGATCTCTTTTCTTGCCTTTTACAGTTTGTAGGGGCCACCTGCACTCCTTGGCTCGTGGCCCCTTCCTTCATCTTTAAACCCTGTAGTGGAGCATCGCCAGATCTCTCTCTGACTCTGACTCTTCCACCTTCAGGGACCCCTTGATTCTATTGGGCCCATCCATATAATCCAGGATAATCTCGTCATCTCAAGACCCTTAATTTAAGCACTTCTGCAGAGTCTGTATTGCCCTTACATATTCCCATGTTCTGGGAATTAAGGCATGGACATCTTCGGGAGATCATTATTCTGTCTGTCCCATATGGGTGAAACAGACAGAGTCTAAAGCTTGTGATAGCTCACCTGCATATATGAAGGGAAAAAAAGACACTTAGAAATCTATGAGTTTTATTTATGGATTAAAAGTTTTAAAAATGAGACTCAGAGCACTGCGCTTGTGAGCATATACATCTTAGCTAGAAGGATGTTACAAATGACACTTTCCTGACTTAAAATTATAAATCTAAACTAGGACAAGATAAAGTAGAGATAAGGACATTACAGGGTATCAACTGGATACATCATCAAAGATCAAATACATAGTTTTTGACAGTTCCTATTTCTCAGAACATAGACTATGGTGAAGACAGTTGCTACTTTGAGCTTAATTCTGATCAGCAAAGAAATGGTTAGTGAGATAGAAGTGAGAAGAATCTGAGAAAGTGACCTTATTTTCTGAGAGTTGATATTATCCAGGGAGAGGAGTACAGAGTACAGTTGGCCCACACTTTTAAGAAAATAAATTTTAGAACATTTTAGAAAAAAAGACTTGATGTTATAAGCTCCCTAGGAAAGACAAATAGTTCTAACAGTTGTCTTTGTGCTCGAATGCTGTGTTAGAGTTCTCCAGAGAAACAGACCCGATAGGGGTGTGTGTGTGTGTGTGTGTGTGTGTGTGTGTGTGTGTGTATGTACAAGATTTCTTATGAGGAATGAGTTCAAGTGATGATGGAGGCTGAGAATTCCTAACATCTGCAGTTGGTCAGCTGGAGACCTGAGAGAGTCAGTGGTGAAAGTTCCAGTCCAGGTCTGAGAAGGCAGAAGACTGATGTCTGCTCAAAGAGAGGCAGAGAGAGCAAATTCTCCATTTTGTCTCCTTTGGTTCTATTCAGGCCTTGAGTTCATTGGATGAGATCCACCCACTTTGAGGGGGCAATCTGCTTTACTCAGGCTGCCAATTCCAATATTAATCTCATCCAGAAATGCTCTCACAGACACACCCAGGATAATGTTTAACCAAATATCCGGGTACCCCATGGCACAGTCAGGTTGATGCATAAAAATAGACAAAAATTCCAAGGAGAAAAAAAAAAGGCAGAGGAAGCATGCTTAGGCACCAGCATGACTATAGAATACTCCTGGTTGAGCTTAGATTAGAAATTAATATAGAGAAAAGACAGAGAGACACATAGTCAACACCACAAGAAGGGAATGACAAAAGTCATAAGAAGATTGAAGCCAGGTTGAGTTGAGGGTCCGTGGGCAACTTCAGGGCTGGAGCCATTCCACAGCCAGGCAGAATCATGCGCCCCCCTACCCCCAACCTAGTCACGCCCCAGGGTCAGAGTTTAGGACATCTGGTCAAACCTGAAGGCCAGTGCTAAGATTTAGAATCTATGTAGATCGATATTTGATGTCTAAGTCGTCTGGGGTCCAGGCAGACATATTTAAAGTGTAAAAATTGAACAACTCATTTTCACTTTCTCCTCACAATTCTATTCTTTCTGTTTCCTGAGGGCCAGGAAAGGGTCTAAATTTTGGAGAAGACCGCTTTGGCAATGGCAGAAAGAGTCGTTCTGAAGTATAGAGTTTGGGGAGGAAGCATCACCAAAATCATAGTTGACCCTAAGTTTTATCTGTGTGAAAATAAATGTAAACGTCAAGGCCCAATTTAAACTGTTATCTTTTTTTCTGAACTTTTCAATACTGATTGGCATGAGCAAGCACATTACTGGGGAACGGTTGAAAGCTGTATCTTCTCATTCCTTACATGTCACTCATCCACACCGACACTGATTTTCAGGGGAAATCAGGGCCGGGTTGTGTGTCTTGGTTTCATTTCCATGAACAGTTGCACTCTTTACGGTGAAGGATTGGGAGTAGCTGCATTCCCCTGGCGGCTCAGGGCGAGGACCAGCAGAGGGAGTCATTGTAAGCCAGACCCTGAGAATGTGCATCCTACTCTCCTCCCGTTTTAGCCGTGTGGAAGCATGAAGACACAGGGATCTCTGTTTCAGCTGCCCCTCATATCCAGTAGTCTCGTGGTGTTGTTCATTCATTCAGCAAATATGTACTGTGGGCAGAACCCACGCCAGGTATGATGTTAGAGATGTTTGTAGCAAGGGAAACATCTAGTTCTTGCCCTCAGTCTGCTGCTAGTCTACCATGAAAGCTGACTTCGAGAAAGGAATTAGGATGGATAAGGTGCAGCAGTTGTGATTTGGGAAGGGAAGGAGGTGCTGCGCAGCAGGGAGGCCTGAATGAGAATTGGGGTTCATTCCACCTCCTTCACCTGGGTTTGTGGCCCATGTGCTGACACGACTTTCACATTTGTATTTCTAGGCCAGATCTCTCCTCTAAGGCTCCAAACCTGAGTAGCCGTCTGTCCTTGGCTTCTCTACACAGATGATTTACAGGCCCCTCAAACCTCTGATCCCTCCAAGCGAGCTCCTCCCGTCTCAGTCTATGGCAGCACCAAGCCTGAGAAAGCTCAGAGCTGTCCTGGAAACCCTCTTCTCCCTTCTGCCCTTCATCTCTTCTCCTGAGACTACTCTTGGGCCTCCACAGCGTCTCATATCTGGCGGACCCCCTTATCCCCCAGCCTGCCACGGGTCCATTCCACACTGCCACCTTGCCCGCACTCCCTCAGACTTGTCCATCCTTGCTTCCCTTTCCCTTCTCCCATCCATCTGTGCAGCCAGAGTTCCCTTCCGGAAACTCACACCAGATGATGTCCCTCCCAGCTCCCTTGCTCACATCCCCTGGTTGTGCTCTGTTTTGAGGACACAGAAGAGAATTGATCTTTCAGGCCCTGTGACCTCACCCTGCCCACCTCCCTGATCCCGTCTCTTAATGCTTCACTCTCTGCTTGAACCCATGCTCTCCTGCTCCTCTCCAATCCCAGGTGATCCCCCTTCACCCTGCTGGGCTCAGTTTAACTCTCATTTTTTCAGGCATCTCCTCTCTGTC